GTATGATAAGTGGGAGCTCTCGGGCGAAATTGAAATACCACTAATTTTAAATATTACTTTACTTATTCCATGAATCGAAATCGGGCCAAGACCCCTCTTTTTGGACACAAGGTAGACTTCTATCGGTCGATCCAGGCGAAAAACATTGTCAGGTGGGGAGTTTGGCTTGGGTGACACAGGTGTCCTAAGATGAGCTCAACGAGAATATAAATCTCGTGTGGAACAAAAGGGTAAAAGCTCGTCTGATTCTGATTTCCAGTAAGAATACAATCCGTGAAAGCATGGCCTATCGATCCATTAGAACATAAATCGTTATATTATAACTGAACGTCTCTAAGTCAGAATTCGGCTAGAAGCGATGCATGCTCCCATCGCCCGATTTTCAACCTGCAGTAGGGCCCCCGGTCCCCAAGGGCATATGTCATGGGTGCAGCACGCGTGTCATACAAGTCGTGCGTGCCTCCATGGAACATAATTTTCACCGAGAGGCGGGTATAATCCTTTACAAACGACAAATATGTGACGGGGTATTGTAAGTGGAAAAGTGGTCTTTTCAGCCCTTTGTCACTTCGATTCAACCCTTTGTTACTTCGATTCGTCCTTCCCCCATCATTCGTATCCTCATTAAAAAGTTGTGAAAATCCAGGAGTTTGACGAGAGGGAACGGGGACCCTCCATCGTTCTTAAGGCATGAGGGTTCTAATCCAATACCATATCTACTTTATTCTTCTGCGATCTATAAGTTCCATGACATAGGAAAATTTAATCACAATACTTAAAGAAAACCCCATCGACAGTTCTATGTATGTTTGTGAGGTAGGCTCGCACAACATCGGGTAGTAAGCACACCCTTTGGTGCAGAGAGTTTATCACGATCAGGCCCCCATATGCATGAGGCTCGGTCACTATCGAAATCCCAAGCAGGTGGGCTCGGTAACAATCGCCAGGAGCAGGCTGCTGTTTCACCACTATCTGGTATCCCAGACGGGTGTCTCAATCACCATGGACAACCTAGACGGGTGCCTCGGAAACCATCTACAACCCCAGGCAATTGGTGTGGGATTTTCACAAAGAACTAAGTATTGGTACGGAAGACTTGGTCACCATCGACGGGTGCCTCGATAACCCCACGCCATTGGTGTGGGAGTACCGCACATGACCGAGCGTTGCTTGGGAGCCACGTTCATCATCGATAACCCCCAACGGGTGCCTCAACAACCATCAGCAACCCCAGACCATTGGCGTGAGATTATCGCATAGAATCTAGCATTGGGTATGGGATCCTCAGTGATAATCAACAACCACCTATTAGTGCCTCAACAACGATCGGTAACCACATGCCATTGGCGTGGGTATGCCATTCAGAACTGAACGCTCATACGGGAGCCTTGCACAACGTCGGGTAGGCTGCACGGCCCCCAGGTGCGTGGGGAAGGAAGTTTCTGCATTTCAGACCTACAATGTTTACTAGTAGAATTTTGCCTAAGTTTTTTTAGCTCTTTAGGGGGGATGGTACTTGAGGCCCCGACTGGGTCCCTTGGAGTTGCGACCACAACATGGCTCGACGCTACTCACAACCCAATACAGACCACTAGAGCCCCCACCACCGACAAGGTTCCCGGTAGTGCTTCGACGACGCTCCGGTGAGACACAATCAGAGCTCTGATATAGTCCAAACAATAGAAAATGCCCATCTCTTCCCCCATGGAAATGGAGAATTTGAAAAGCACTAGTGTCCCGAGAGTTTAAAGTGATGGATGGCCTTGATGAATAGTGAAAAATAATAGATATTAGTTACAGTCTCCAACTGAGATAAGGCTTCGACGATGAAAAATAACCCTCCCCTCCCCTATAGAAATGGGGAATTCTGAAGGCACTAATGCCGCGACCGAGGCTTCGATAGATGGCCAGGAAATAGGTCATTGGGTGGCCAGAATAAGGACGATGGAGGAAGTGTCATTGTTTCAAATATTTCAGTGTCTACTGGTAGTATTTTGCCTAATTTTTTTAATCTCTTTAGGAGGAAGTTTCCTCGTTTCCTCTGCCTCTAGGCTAAGTCATTTGTCATGTGTGTTGTGGACCAGAGGGTATGGATGCTACTACTCTTACGCAATGGACATGTGAGTGGTGATATGGTTATTTGCGTCGGTAGGCTCCGTTCTACATGCATCGAACTATCGAGCCACACTCCTCTTCGATATCTCCTCTTCCAGTCTTCAACCCAAGGGGTACGATTGGGATCCTGTGTTGTGTACCTAAATCAATGGAATTTTAGATGTTTTACCGTCCATTTTCCATCAGGTGACATTGTGCCTACGTGGTGGACTTAAGTCGTACCCAGTGTCCGTGTGTGCGTTTTGTGAATACTCGGCCACGTCGGTGCATGGTGCTTGATCGTTCTTTTAGATGCGAAACATTTTGTGAGCGCAGGGTCCCTCGGTCACATTGTTCGATGCCTACGCATTTTTGTCCCTCGATATGAATGATATTTGTGTCCTGTTATGGCATTGTCCTCCGCCAAGGCATTGGATTGAGGACCATACGGTACCCGTCGTCACAAAGGAATGCTTCTTGGTTGATCCTACCAGTAGACATATGCTTGTCTCAAATATTAAGCCATGCATGTGTAAGTATGAACTAATTCAGACTGTGAAACTGCGAATGGCTCATTAAATCAGTTATAATTTGTTTGATGGTATTTTCTACTCAAATAACTATAATTCTAGAGCTAATACATGCAACAAGCCCTGATTTTTGAAAGGGATGCATTTATTAGATAAATGGTCGAGCGGGTTTTGCCTTTTGCTATGATGATTCATGATAACTCGACGGATCGCTTGACCTTTCTGCCGGTGACGCATCATTCAAATTTCTACCCTATCAACTTTCGATGGTATGATAGTTCCATACTATGGTGGTGGTGGGTGACAGAGAATTAGGGTTCGATTCCGGAGAGGAAGCCTGAGAAATAACTACCATATCCAAGGAAGGTAGCAGGAGCGCAAATTACCCAATCCTGACACGGGGAGATAGTGACAATAAATAATAATACTAGGCTCTACTAGGATCAATTTGAGGGAAAGTTTGGTGCCAACAATTGTAATAATTCCATCTCTAAAAGTATATATTTAATTTATTGCAGTTAAAAAGCTCGTAGTTGTGACCTAGGGGTGGCTCGATCGGTCCGCCTCACGGTGAGCAACGGTCTGCTCATCCCTACTGTCGGCGATGCACTCTTGGCCTTAATTGGTCGGGTCGTTCCTTTGACGCAGTTACTTTGAAGAAATTAGAGTTCTCAAAGTAGGCCTACACTTGTATACATTAACATGGGATAATATCATAGGATTTCGATCCTATTGTGTTGGCCTTCGGGATCAGAGTAATGATTTACGGGGACAGTCAGGGGCTTTATTATTTCATAGTCAGAGGTGAAATTCTTTGATTTATGAAAGAAGGACAACTGCGAAAGCATTTTCCAATGATGTTTTCGTTAATCAAGAACAAAAGTTGGGGGCTAGAAGACGATCAAATATCGTCCTAGTCTTAACCATAAAAGATGCCGATAGGGATCACTGGATGTTTATTTTAGAACTCCGTCGATACCTTATGAGAAATCAAAGTCTTTGGGTTATAGAGGGAGTATGGTCGCAAGTATGAAACTTAAAGGAATTGACGGAAGGGAACCACCAAGAGTTGAGCCTGCAGCTTTATTTAACTTAACACGGGGAAGCTTATCAGGTCCAGATAATGTAAGGATTGACACACTAAGAGCTCTTTATTGATTCTATGGGTGGTAGTGCATAGTCGTTCTTAGTTTATGGAGTAATTTGTTTGGTTACTTCCATTAATGAACTAGACCACATCCTACTAACTACCTACACGGAGGTGATCCTTCATGGCTAGCTTTTTAGAGGGACTATGGCCGCTTAGGCCAAGGAAGTTTGAGGCAGTAACAGGTCTGTGATACCCTTAGATGTTCTGGGCCGCACGCACCCTATACTAATATATTCAACAAGTCTATAGCCTTGGTTGACAGGCCCACGTAATCTTTGAAATTTTATCATGTTGGGGATAGATCATTGCAATTGTTGGTCTTCAACGAGGAATTTATAGTAATCACGAGTTATCAACTCGCGTTGACTACGTCCCAGCCCTTTGTACGCATCGCCCTTCGCTCTACCGATTGAATGATCCTAGGAAGTGTGTGCATTGCGGCGACGTGGGTGGTTCGCTACCCACGACATTGCGAGAAGTCCATTGAACCTTAATATTTATAGGAGGAACAAGTCGTAACAAGGTTTCCATAGATGAACATGCAGAAGGATAATTGTCGAAGCCTAGCAAAATAACCCGTGAACACATTATCGAACAGCAAGTGGAGGGGGTCTTGTTGCGTCATTGCCCCTCGACCTCCCATGTCTTGGAGTACTGGGATCGCTTGCTCCGGCACGCACTTTGGGCTGTTGAACGGTATGACCCGGTGTCTCCTAGGCAAAACGAACAACCCCAGGCCTAAATCGCGCCAAGGAATTGGAATAAAAAGGTGATCATGTCTTGTCCTTGCCCCTTTGCTGTGTGCGTGCATTATATATACGATTGCTTTGTCGTGAAAAAAATGTTTCTCGGTAACGAATATCTCGGCTCTCGCATCGATGAAGAATGTAGCGAAATATGATACTTGGTGTGAATTGAATAAATCCCATGAACCATCGAGTCTTTGAATGCAAGTTACGTTCAAACCGTTAGGATGAGGACACATCTACCTGGGTGTCACGTATCGTTGCCCCCATCCTAACTTGAACCATAGGGTTCAGTCGAGGTGTGGGCATAAATTGGACTCCTGTGCGTAGACACCTCATAGTTGGCCTAAAATTGAGTACACGGCGTCATGGTGTCATGACGATCGGTGGTAATGCCTTGAGTAACCTCATTTTGTCATGCACGCTCATTAATTTGGACTCTCTGATCCTCTTGGTATCGTATTTGTGATGCTTGCATTATGACCCCAGGTCAGGCGGGATTACCCGCTGAATTTAAGCATATCAATAAGAAGAGGAAAACAAACTTACTAGGATTCTGTCAGTAACAGCGAGCAAACCGGGAAGAACCCAACTCTATAATCGGTCGCCCTCGGTGTCTGAATTATAGTCTGGAGAAGCATCCTTAGTGATAGAATGTGAAAGCCCCATCACGCCCGGACCCTGTCGCACCACGAGTCACTGTCTACGAGTCATTTTGTTTGGGAATGATGCCTTACTCAGGCGGTAAATTCGTCTAAGGCTAAATACGGGTGAGAGACCGATAACGAACAAGTACCGCGAGGAAAACATGAAAAGGACTTTGAAAAGAGAGTCAAAGAGTGCTTGAAATTATCAAAAGAGTGCTTGAAATTATAGTAGAGAAGCGGAAAAAAGCCGATGATGCACCCCGATCGGATGTAGAATGACGACAACCAGTCCGGAGATCAGCTCGAGACGTGGATTGACGTGGATCGTAGTGGCGGCATAAGAACGGGCCATTTATACGCTACAGAGAAGTCGTTACCTCGATTATGGAACCTAACACTCACCGTCTTGGCTCGTTTCGGCATAAGCCTACTCAGGGCTTCGCCTGCGAGCTCCCCATCCGACCCTTCTTGCAACACAAACCAAGGAGTCTAACATGTGTACGATTCAATAGGCAAAAACCCTGTAAGGCTCAAGGAAGCTAATTAGCAGAATCCGTCACGGGTGCACTGCCGACTGAAGTTGATATTCTCAGAAGGGCCGAGTGAGAACATGCCTATCGGGACCCGAAAGATGGTAAAATATGACTGAGTATGGCGAAGCCAGTGGAAACTGGTGAAGGCCCGCAACGATTCTGACGTGCAAATCATTCGTCTGACTTGGGTATAGGGGTGAAAGACTAATCAAACCATCTAGTAGCTAGTTCCCTCCAAAGTTTCCCTCAGGATAGTTATAGCCCTTTACGAGTTCTATCAGGTAAAGCCAATGATTAGAGGCAATGGGGGCCCAATGCCCTCGATCTATTCTCAAACTTTAAATAGATTGGATGGTACGACTGCTTCATTGAGCCATTTCATGGAATCGAGAGCTCCAAGTAGACCATTTTTGTAAGCAGAACTGGCGATACTAGATGAACCGAAAGCAAGGTTATTGAGCCCAACTACACGCTAACCTATAACCCCCAAAGGGTATTGGTCAATTAAGATAGCAGGAAGGTGGTCATGGAAGTTGAAATCCACTAAGGAGTGTGTAAAAACTCACCTACCGAATCAAGTAGCCCCAAAAATGGATAGCGCTTAAGCACGGGACTTATATCTGATCGTTGGGGTAAAGGGAAGGCCTTGATGAGTATGAGGGTGCAGCGGTCGCTGTAAAACCTGGTACGTGAGCCCTAGCAGAGCATCTGTCAGTACAGATCTCGGTGGTAGTACCAAATATTCAAATGAAAACTTTGAAGGCCAAAAAAGGGAAAGGTTCCATATGAACGACACTTGCACATGGGTTAGTCGATCCTAAGAGATGGGGGAAACACGTCCGATAGCACGTTCCGTGTGAGCTTCGAAAGAGGATCGAGTTAAAGTTCCTAAATCGGGACACGACGGCTGACAGTAACATTAAAGAGTCTGAAGATGTCGGAGGGGGCCTCGGGAAGAGTTATCTTTTCTGTTTAACTGCCTGTCCACCCTAGAAATGGCTCAATCGGAGGTAGGCTCCAGCGGTCGAAAGGCCGAGTATCATCCGCGCTCGATCATACTCATAACCGCATCAGGTCTCCACGGTGAACAACCTCTTGTCGATGGAACAATGTAGGCAAGGGAAGTCAGCAAAATGGATCCACATCCTGGGAAGAGGATTGGTTCTAAGGGTTGGGCACGGGGGTCCCAGTCCCGAACTCGTTGGCTGCCGGTGCATTGCTGAAACTATTCCCGCAGCGAAAGCGGGTCATCGCGTGCTGATCAGGGGACGGACTGGGAACGGCTCCTTCGGTGTTCTTCCTCGGGAAACGAATAGTCAACTCAGAATTGGTACGGACTAGGCTAATATAATTATTTAATTAAAACAAAGCATTGTGATGGTCTCTGCGGATGCTCACGCAATGTGATTCTGCCCAGTGCTATGAATGTCAAAGTGAAAAAATTCAACCAAGCGCAGGTAAAAGGCGGGAGTAACTATGACTCTCTTAAGGTAACCAAATGCCTTGTCATCTAATTAGTGGAATTCATTAAAGGATTAACGAGATTCCCACTGTCCCTGCCTATTATCCAGTGAAACCACATCCAAGGGAACGAGTTTGGCAGAATCAGCGGGGAAAGAAGACCCTGTTGAGCTTGACTTTAGTCTGACTTTGTGAAATGACTTGAGAGGTGTAGGATAAGTGGGAGCTCTAGGGATAAATTGAAATAACACTACTATTAATGTTATCTTACTTATTCAGTGAATTGGAAGTAAGGAACGACCCCTCTTTTTGGACCCAAGGCTGACTTTTGTTGGTCGATCTGGGCGAAGACATTATCAGGTGGGGAGTTTGGCTGGGGTGACACATCTGTTAAAAGATAATGCTGTTGTCCTAAGATAATCTCAAAGAGAACACAAATCTCATGTGGAAAAGGGTAAAAGCTCGTTTTATTCTGATTTCCAGTATAAATATGAACCATGAAAGCGTGACCTATTGATCCTTTGACCTTCAAAATTTGAAGCTAGAGGTGTCAGAAAAGTTAGCACATGGATAACTGGCTTGTGGTAGCCAAGCATTCATAGGGACATTGCTTTTTGATCCTTCGATGTCCGCTCTTCCTATCATTGTGAAGCACAATTACCAAGTGTTGGGTTTAGACCATCGTGAGACATGTTAGTTTTACCCTACTGATGGTCGTCATAATAGTAATTCAACATAGTATGAGAGGAACCATTGATTCGCACAATTGGTCATCGCCCTTGGTTGAAAAGCCAATGGTGCGAAGCTACCGTGCGATGGATTATGACAGAACGCTTCTAAGTCAGAATCTGAGCTAGAAGTGACTCATGTGCCCGTCGCCCGATTACCGACCCGTAGTAGGGGCGTTGACCCCCAAGGGCTCATGTCGTGGGTGCTGCACGCGTATCAGACAAGTCGCGGTGCCTCCCTGGAATGTAATTTCTACCAAGCGGCAGGTAGAATCCTTTACAGATGACTTAAATACGCGATGGGGTATTGTCAGTGGCAGAGTAGCCTTACTACCATGATCCACTGAGATTCGACTCTTTGTCGCTTCGATTTGTCCCTTCCCCCATCGTTCATATCCTCATTAAAAAGCCATGGAAATCCAGGGGTTCGACAAGAGGGAACGAGGACCCTCCATCATTTCTAAGGCACGAGGGTTCTAATCCAAAACCACATCTACTTTAATCTTCTTCCATCTATAAGTTCAATGAGTTAGGAAAATTTTGTCATGGTACTTGAAAAAACCCCATCGACGGTTCTAAGCATGTTTGTGTGGTAGGCTCGCACAACATCGGGTAAGAAGCACGTCCATGGGTCCTGGAGACTCGCACAACATCAGGCAATAAGCATGCCCTTTGGTGGGGAAGAGTCGATCACCATCACGCCCCAATCTGTGTGAGTCTCGGTCACCATCGACAATCTCAGGTGGGTGGCCCCCGTTACCATTGACAGGAGGAGGTTATTGTTTCGCCACCATCTGGTATCCCAGACGGGTGTCTTGGTCACCCATGGAAACCCCAGACGAGTATCTCAGAAACCATTGGCAACCCTAGACCATTGGTTTGGGAGTTCTGCACAGAACTGAGTGTTAGTGTGGGAGCCTCGATCACCATTGGCAACCCCATGATATTGGTGTGGGAGTGTCGCACATAATTGATCATTGGGTGAGAGATTATGGTTACCATCAGGAACCCCCAACGGATGCCTCGGTAACCATCGACAGTCATAGGCTATTAGTACGAGAGTTCCGCATAGAATTGAGCATTGGGTACGGGAGCCTCGGACATAATCGATAACCCCCGATGGGTGCCTCGGTAATCATTGTAACCCTATGCTATTGGTGCAAGAGTGTTGCACAGAATCGAGCGCTGGGTACGGGAGCCTCGCACAGCGTTGGCCAGGCCGTACGGCCCCCAGGTGTGGGAAAGGAAGTGTCCGCATTTCAGACATTATAATGTCTACTAGTAGCATTTGCCTAAGTTTTTTTAGCTCTTTTAGGGGGATGATTCTTGAGGCCCCGACAGGGTCTCTTGGGATTACGACCACAACATGACCCAACGTAACCTATTACCCCATACCGGCCATCGGTGCCCTTCACCACCGAAAAGGTTCCTGATGGTGCTACCGATGCTCTAGTGAGACACAATCGGAGCTCCGATAAGGCCCAAACAATGGAAAACGCCCCACCCCTCCCCCGTGGAAATGGATAATTCGAAAAGCACTACTGTCCCATGAGTTTAAATTTATGCATGGCCTCGATGAATAATAGTAAAAAATAGACATTAGTTGTGGTCTTCAATCAAGATAAGACTCCAATTATGGAAATTGACTTCCTCCCCCATGGAAATAGGGAATTCTGAAAGCGCTAATGCCGATTGGGACATCGATGATTGCCTCGATGAAGAGTAAAACCAACGAACAATACTTGTAGGTACGCACTTGGATTCAGGAGCCATGCACGTCATGGTCAGGAAACAAGCCATTGGGTGGCCACAAGAAGGGTGATGGAGGAAGTGTCCTTGTTTCAGACATTTCAATGTCTATTGGTAGTATTTTGCCTAATTTTTTAGCTCTTTAGAGGGTAATGTCCTGGTACCCCATCCCACCCCCGCACCCCATGGGGGCGAGGCAGTGCCTAGCACTAGCACATGTTTGCCCCCATCACTGGTGGGGCTATTCGAACATGGTTGCCGGAAGGACATGATCGTGTGAATGGTCGGTGCGTATCAACTCAAAGTGGTGTGGCACCTACATGCGCATTAGTCATTGTCCTTCCATGTCCGGCCAAACTCGATAACCGCTCATCACTTTTGTTTAGTTTGCGTGCTCTATTGGATATGTGTTACTTGCCGAGACATTTGTAACCCATTACCAAGTCTTTTAATGGCAACGACCTATTGGGGGAGAGAGATAATACATTCAGGGGTACGTATCAGACTAGATTGAAGCCCCAAGCGGGTTATGCTGCAAGCCCACCCCTCATCAAAGCAATAGGCCAGCCTTTCCCTCCACTCAAACTTAAAGAACTCCTTCAAAAAAACCCTTCTCTACTCCCAGGAAAAAGGACAACCCTTTCCCTTTAACTTAAAAAAGGCCATACCAAAAAAAAAAAGCTCCGCAAAAAGCCGTAAACTATTTGAACCAAAACATCTTATTACTATTGGTTGCCTACGAGATTGGAAATTGCTAGGTATACTTGCCTCTGTTAGTTTTCGTGCCAAGTGGTTTTGGTGTGCCCTAGTTCATTGTTTCCTCCGCTCCTCAGCCAAGTCATTGGTCGTGTGTATTGTGGATCGATGGTCATGGATGCTACTACTCTTACGTAATGGGCATATGTGTGGTGATATGGTTATGTGTGTCGACAGTATCCGTGCTACATAATTCAAATTTCTGTCGTATAAACTTTCGATGGTAGGATAGTGACCTACTATGGTGGTGAAAGGTGAGGGAGAATTAGGGTTCGATTCCAGACAGAGAGCCTGAAAATGGCTACCACATCCAAGGAAGGAAGCAGGCTGGCAAATTACCCAATCTTGAGACGAGGAGGTAGTGATAATAAATAACAATATCGGGCTCTACGAGTCTGATAATTGGAATCAGTACAATCTAAATCCCTTAACGAGGATCCATTGGAGGGCATGTCTGGTGCCAGTAGCCGCGGTAATTCCAGCTTCAATAGCGTATATTTAAGTTGTTGCAGTTAAAAAGCTCGTTGTTGGACGTAGGGTGGGTCGGTCGGTATGCCTCACGATGAGTATCGGTCTGTTCATCCCTACTGCCGGCGATGCGCTCTTGGCCTTGATTGGCCTGGTCATTCCTCCAGCGCTGTTACTTTGAAGAAATTAGAGTGCTCAAAACATGCTAACGCTTGTATACATTAGTATTTGATAACATCACAAGATTTCGATCCTATTGTGTTGGCCTTCAAGATCAGAGTAATGATTAACAGGGACAGTCGAGGGCATTCGTATTTCATAGTCATAATTAAAATTATTGGATTTATAAAAGACGAACAACTGCGAAAGCATTTTCCATTGATGTTTTCATTAACCAAGAATGAAAGTTGGGGGCTCGAACATGATCATATATCGTCATAGTCTCAACCATAAACGATGCCAACCAGGGATCGACAGATGTTGCTTTTAGGACTCCACCGACACCTTATGAAAAATCAAAGTCTTTGGGTTTCAGGGGGAGTATGGTCGCAAGGCTGAAACTTAAAGGAATTGATAGAAGCGCACCACCAGGAGTGGAGCCTTCTGGTTAATTTGAATCAACACGGGGAAACTTACTAGGTTCAGACATAGTAAGGATTCATATACTGAAAGCTCTTTCTTGATTCTATGGGTGGTGGTGCAAGGCCATTCTTAGTTAGTAGAGCGATTTGTCTAGTTAATTCCGTTAACGAACGAGACCTCATCCTGCTAACTAGTTATATGGAGGTGATCCTCCGTGGCTAGCTTCTTAGAGGGACTATGGCCACTTAGGCCAACAAAGTTTGAGGCAATAACAGGTCTGTGATGCCCTTAGATGTTCTGGGCTATACGCGCGCTGCACTGATGTATTCAACGAGTCTATAGCCTTAGCTGACAAGCCCAGGTAATCTTTGAAATCTCATCATGATGGGGATAGATCATTGCAATTGTTGGTCTTCAATGAGGAATTTATAGTAAGCACGAGTTATCAGCTTGTGTTGACTACGTCCCTGCCCTTTGTACACACCGCCCGTTGCTCCTACCAATTGAATGATCCGGTGAAGTGCTTGGATTGCGGCGACGTAGGTGGTTCGCTACCAGTGACATCGCGAGAATTCCATTGAACCTTATCATTTAGAGGAATAAGAAGTAGTAACAATGTTTCCGTAGTTGAACCTACCTAGCAGAACAACCCGCGAACACGTTATCAAACAACACCTGGAGGTGACTTGGTTGTGTCATTGCCCCTTGACCCCTCCATGTCTCGGAGCACTAGGATCGCTTGCTCCGGTATGCACTTTGAACTATTGGGTGGCACGACCCGGTGTCTCTGAGGTAAACTGAATAACCCTCATTTTGAATCGCACCTAGGAATTGGAATCAAACGGCGGTTGTATATTGTCCTCGCCCTGTTCTTGGTGTGTGTGCGACATAGATACAATAACTTTGTCATGAGAAAAAAAATGACTCTCAACAACAGATATCTCGTCTCTCGCATCAATGAAGAAAGTAGCGAAATACTATACTTGGTGTGAATTGTAGAATACCGAGAACCATCGAGTCTTTGAACGCATGTTTGTCCCAAGCCGTTAGGCTGAGGTCATGTCTCCCTAGGTGTCATGCATTGTTGCCCCATCCTAACCCAAATCATAGGGTATTGGTCAAGGTGTGGGCGTAAATTAGCCTCAAGTGCGCAAACTGCTCACGGTTTGACTATAATTGATTACACGACGTCATATGCCATGACGATCGGTGGTAATGCCTTGAGCAATCTCATTTTGAGTCATGCACTCTCGTCGATCTAGACTCTCTAAACCGAATAGCTTCGCACTTGTATTGCTCACATCGTGACCATAGGTCAGGCGGGAATACCCGTTGAATTTAAGCATATCAATAAGTGGAGGAAAACAAACTTACAAGGATTCCTTTAGTAATGCTGAGCGAACCGGGAAGAGCCCATCTTGATAATTTGTCACCATCGACATCTGAATTGCAGTTTGGAGAAGCGTCCTCAATGACGGACTGAGCCCAAGTCCCCTTAAAAGGGGCACCGTAGAGGGTGAGAGCCCGTCTTGCCTGACCCTGTAGTACCACGAGGCGTTATCTATGAGTAAGATTATTTAGGAATACAACCCTAATCGAGCGGTAAATTCTATCCAAAGCTAAATACGGTGAGAGACCGATAGCGAGCAAGAACAATGAGGGAAAGATGAAAAGGACTTTGAAAAGAGTGTCAAAGAGTGGTTGAAATTGTCAGGAGAGAAGTAGATGGGGGCCGGTGATGCGGCCCGGTTGGATGTGGAACAGCGATAACTAGTATGCCGATCTACTCGGGATGTGGATCGACGTGGATCGTAGTAGGG